GAGAGTGAGCCTACATTGAGTTCTCATCTATTGTAGAGAACAAATTTTTTGTATTTATGCTTCATTGTGAGATACATTTTGTAATACACTTGTACACCGAGAGAAGTTTGTGGTGAGAGACGGGGTCATCCCAAGAGGAGTGGGGTAGGTGGTAATGCCTAGAGGTATGTTGTAATTCCTAACATTTGAGGGAGATATGGGCTAGAAACCAACACTTAGAGGGTGTAATGTGGGATTGCAAGAGTGTGAGATTGTAAAATTTTCGGTGAGCTAGAAAACCGAGTGTGACGTGTAAACGTTTTCGGGTGAACATTAAAAACCAGGTATGATAGTGGATATCTCCCCGGGTGTGAGGAACGGAGACGTAGGACGGAAGGTCCGAACTCCGTGACCATTTTGCTTGTTTGAGTTTGGCTTAGCACACTTATATCTTTGTTCATCTTTATTATCATTCTCTCATTGTTTATTTCATCCACTATATTGTTTATATCTTGTTTCACCCTGGTGTTAGTTTCATATCCTTGCATATATCTCTTGTTGTATCTCATTGTTAGGATATATTTGTTAATAAAAATAGTTTCATATCCTTGCATATATCTCTTGTTGTATCTCATTGCTAGGATATATTTGTTAATAAGTTTTTAATTAGTATTAAATCGTATTAGATTAGCATAAACCCTATTCACCTCCCTCTAGGGTTCTTTCCTAGTGGCATTAGGGTATTTTCATCTCTCTTTTCTTTTCTTCTGATGGTTTTTCACGTCCTTTTTTAGCTGATAATCATATTTTTATTATAATTTTATACCCTCATTATCTATTTTACATGAATAAATATACCACTAAGAATTATTTTTATCTTTAATTGCAGGTTAATGAAGAAATAATGAATAAAAACCCAAAAGACTCCAACTTCCTCATTTTATAACCTTTTATTGAAGCCCAAAATCAAACCGAGTAGCCTGTAGAAGCCGAAGAAAATAAAAAATCCAATATGAAAAGAAATCATATTCAAAATGGTTGGCCGCACAGAAACGACGATATCTCTCAATCCGGAAGACGGGATTTAACATATAATATATAAAAATCGCTTATCTCGACGAGATGAAGCCATCTGTGAAGTCAGATTTTGGAAATAGTGGGCATCGATGGCGGTATCGATGCCAGCGTTGATGCCAACGTCAGTCTGTTACGAATCTAAAGCTGAAATTCAAGGTTTTTGGATAAGATTTCGATCCAAGAGCTCACATTCATTGATGTTTACTATAAATAGGGGTAGAGAGTGAGGGGTTAGGGGTATTAAAATTTTTATAACTCCATTTAGAGAGGATGGTTACTCTTAATTGAGAAGACCTTCTAATTTTATAACTTTTTGTTACAATCAATAAAAGAATTTTTCACATCTTCATATTTTTCTTTTCTTCTCTTTGTTTCATGATGAAGCTGAAGATGGGATGAAGATGAAGATCAAGAGTGATGTTTGCTTTCATGTTGAGGCTAGAACCCTCTTGGGTGGTAAATTTCTTCTTTATTAATATTTTTATCTTTTTATTTTCTTACTTAAACAGCCAAGAGGCTATAACCCTCTTACCTTAGATTTATTTCATGCTTATAGAGTAGATTTATTTCATGCTTACAAAGTAGATTTATTTTCTCGTATTTAATTCTTGTAATTTATTTTGTAGTTTAGTTTTACAATTTATTTTGTAGTTATATTTTATTTTTTTGTACTATTCACCTTGAGGCTAGAATCCTCTTGGGATTAGTTTTTATTTTCCTTTATTTTTATATTCTTTGATTCGCCTTGAGGCTAGAACCCTCTACGGAATTGCCTTTTCTTTTGAGGTGGGTTCAATTCTAGATTCCTCATATATTTAATTGAACCATCGTTCTCTTATTTCTTTATTTTTCCTTTACTTTTATTTTCTTGATTTTTATTTCCTTCATTTTCCTTTCTTTCATTGTGATTTCATTTATTCTTTATCTATCACGCTCAATATCATTTTTACACACAATCATTCTCATTCTCTCCATCTCTCCACAATCACATCTATCATCACTCTTTTACACACAATCATTCTCATTCTCTCCATCTCTCCACAATCACATCTATCATCACTCCTAATTGTCATGCACACAACATAAATTCTCATTCTCTCCATCTCTCCACAATCACATCTATCATCACTCCTAATTGTCATGCACACAACATACGAACCGATTCTAATATTTTCCTACAAACACTTTCCTCATGGGATCGATAACTTTTTATACTATAACTTGATTAATTATGCACTTGTAATTTTTGGTATATGTTTATGCCGCATTACAATCCTAGCTCAAACATAATTCAAAACAGATTAGGAAACTGCCAACTCGACTCGCAGTTAACCGCCGAACCAGTCGCAATCGACCGTGAAAAGTCCAGAGACCAACTCAACTCCAAGGTCCAGGCGGCGGTCGACCGCACCAACCGCCGCGGTCGACCGGAAAAAGTCCAGAGATATTTTCTGTTTTTGTGCATGTTCGCGGTCGACCTCCGAGAGCACCGCGGTCGACCGTACTGTAGTTTTCTTGTTTCCCTTGTTTTGCTTCATCTTCTTGATTCCAGCTTCGGCTTCAGCTTTGGGTCTACACTTAGACTAACATAACTAAACAAGCTAAAGAAGAATTGGATGATTATTCAAACTGAAAAACATACAATTCAAGCACTAAAAGGGGGGCATTAAATAGGAAAATGAAGGTTTTCAATTTCTGTAGCACCATTTTTGGGCACAAAAGAAACATGTCTACAAGTCTATTTACCAAACTGGATTGATAATGTAAGAACTCATCACATTGAAAAAATTGGATACTGATACCCAAGGCCAGGGAAACATTCAATAATATATTAACAGGAGTTTTGAACTCCAACCCACAATGTTAAGGAAACAAGAGAATTAACGAAGGATGTTAGACAGGAACAACCAGTCTATTGTTACATAGAAGACTTCAGTTCAAACAATGCATGTGCATCAGGTTAACCTTGAGTTATAGAAAAGACAGCTCCCTCTATATATTATGAAATATGACTATCACGTTTACATACTTCTTTCGTCCATTCTTTTAAGTATGTGAAAGTTATTTATATTTTCAAATGATCATTCACAAGAGAAGACAAATATTTCCTACATGTCAACTCACTGGCACGATAAAGCCTAAGAACTGTGAGATGTTACTAAATAATTTCAGAGGCAACAACTATAAAAATACGCAATCAGGAATCCTGTAAGTTACCATAGGCAATACCACTGTAACCTAAGGAAATTGGGTAACCGATCGAAACTTTACAATTTTTGGCTCCTCGAATATATGCATTGTAAGGACAGATGCAGTGATCTTATTACAGGTTCCGGTATCTATAATTTCATGCAATGTTAAACCACATTCGTACATTACTTATCAGGGTCTCATAGAATACCTTAAAAGCAATGCTTTAAGAAGAAAATGAGACACTCTCTTCCTCCTGCCAAAGGCAACACGTCTTGGTCTAAAATCCCAAAATTAAGAAATCCATGCATTAACTTAGATTCTGCATGCAACTATATGTTGTTCACCCTTAAAAAGCTGGATATTGATGTCCAAAGGCAAAATAAGAAATTAAAAAGATGGTATGCTCCATCAGGAAATCAGAGGTAACAAATAGGAGAACGACAAAGAAATATGGAAGTGAGGAATCTCCAGTGTGATGTCCTGTGAAAATTTTAAATAGCCATGTATGCTAGAATTAGAATTAGAATAGGAATAACAATGCTAGACAAAGTGGAAAGATAACTAAAGTTACTAATAAGACATCATGATACTAATTCAAAGTTGTCACATGAAACTTTTTGATGAAAAAAAAATAAGTTTGATAGAAGAAGGCAGTGAATTTTGTAGGATTGACTAAGTGGTGCATAATCATAGATTATAACTTTTGATGACAAAGAGATACGGATGATATTTGAATTATGGATTCTTCACGTGTGAACGAAGGTAGAAATGTGGATCAGAAAAGAATATTATCAGAGATGTGTAGTGTTTGATTTCAATCATATACCCAAATGTTTGCAGAAGCTATCATGATTGTTGATCTGACAGAAGTAATCCTTTTCCGAACTTATTAAACTTCACATATTATATGCCCAATAGTACCTTGGGATAACATGAAATGCAAGGACCTCACACCTATTGGTTTAACTGTTGGTCACTAAATCAAACTACGTTAAACACTCAATCATATTATAAATTCAAGAAAATTATGATAATCCAATATAACAAAAGAGGTGGTAATAATTTTACTCACCAGTCAAAACATACACTAACTACTAAGAAGAGATGTCCCGCTTGCATAAACATAAGACAGTTGACGTTATAATACCATTTCATTGAATTAGTAGTATACATATATAAAGAGAAGTAAAAGAAGCAAGGCACGAATTTTCAGTTAGTTAAAGGAAGAAATAGAGAAAGTACCCCTTGACATTATCCCGTTAGTCCATATAACTACTATCAAGATTATCAAAAGATATCCCTTCACATTTTCATATAAATATAAGGGTAAGTTTCAAGAAACCATCTTCATTTGTACCCTATTTTTCAAGAAAAACTCTCATATGTTAAATTCAACAATAAAACCCCCTAATCTACAGTAGTTATTAAAATTATTGGTTTCTAAATAGTTTTAGAGTAAATTTACGAGGGCAAAAGATTAAATCCAAATTCCATAACAACTATCTTGTTTTTTTTATTTGATATCTTCTATAATCTCCTAAATTCATGAGAAAACTTATATTGCAAATGTACACATCTAGGAATTCATTTGCGTCATATAGATGAGAGAGCTTTTCATAGGGGGTTTCCTGTAATATACCCTAAATTTAATTTGAATACGCAAAACTTAAAATCAGACGCTATACAAACAACATCTTCTTTGGTTGCTAAATGTATAAATCAAAGAAAATTAACAGCAGGATTAGTTTTACCTATGCTCTTCCTCAGTCCAAGCAATTCCTTTGCGTCGCTCTTGCTCAGCCCTTCCCTTCCCGTCTCCGCCCTTCTTACCATGGGCACCAGCTTCAGCCACCTCGTCATCTAAATAGCTCGGCAAAAGCACTCGATCATCTTCAATCGCATCAATATCTTCCTCAAGAAGCCGATAGTGCTTCTTAACATCCTCAACATCTACTCCAAGCTCCTCTGCAATCCTATCCCAATGATCACCGATTTCGTAGCAGTAAGTAGCAAAAGCATTCTCAAATTTCTTGTTCATCTCCCAAGTCCACACATCTCCTCCTTCCACTACTACATCCATATAGCCTACAACTCAAGAAAATCGCTAAAATCAACTAAAAATCCGCAGAAAAACCAGTAAACTCCAAGAACTCCAAGAAACACTTGATTTTTTAATGGAAAGTATCAAGATACAAATAGAGAACTCACCCGATTCATTTACGTTGCCCGAATCCATATCTGCAATCAAGAAACACCAAATAAAAGTGAGCAAACCTTGAGATTGAAGAGGGAGAATCGAGCCAAACTAAGGGTTTTACAGTTTAAGATTCTAGCGAGAGTGAGGATTGATGGAATCTAGGGTTCGTAGATTCCAACGATACGCAAATAGCAAGAACTCGAGCTTAGGGTTTTGAGTTCAATCATCGCAAAAACCCTCTTTTGCTCGCTTCGATTTAAACGCTGGAAGAAGTAATTATCGATGGCTTTGCATTATTAGAGGTAAAAAATGTAAATGGCAGAAGAAATCCATTTGAGTAAAAAGAATCGCAGTGATCGCAGTAAAAATAAATAAATAAATTGATTAATTAATAGAGTAATAAAGCTTACTCATTGCTGTAGTGTTAGAAATCAGCGAATCACGGCGGCCGAAATAATCAGAGCCCTTGTTTTATTTATAGGCCAAATGAAATCATCTGGATACTACGATTTACCGCGGATTTAAAAAAGGTTAGTTAAATTTAATTTAATTATATTACTTAGAGTGGTGTGATTAAAAACTTAAAAAATGAGATAAAAATTTTGAATTTGGGAGTACCAATTATATTGTTATTATTTTCACTGGCAGTTGTAACCTCTCAATTGTTATTGACATATTGTTCGCTCTGCACTGATTTTTTTTCCTTCAAAACTGTTGATGCTACATTATAATTTTGAATCTTAAACAGGTAATGCTAAAGTGAATTTTTGGCCCTTTATCTACTATTTAAGCTGAAAAAATATTTCATAACTTTTTTGTTCTTGATATTATGAATTTAACCTTTGTGAGACACTTCGCAAATATAAGTTTTTCTAGGTCTATTATAAAAACTTGATAGAAGTTGGTAATTGATGTATTGTTTTGTTAACTGGTTTGAAAATTCACTATGTAAATTGTATTAAAAAATTACTGTTAAAGTTTTTATAAATAATTATCTGTAAAAATTATATTATCAATTTAGCGATGACATAACTCGCTAAATACTTGTAGCAATGCTCGGACTTGATACTAAATTTTTATTTTATTTTATGGAAGAACTCGTCTATAGTAGATTATTTATTTTATGGAACCTCTCAACTATTTATTTTATTTTATTTTATAGGAGAACCCCATCTATAGTAGATTATTTAAGTGGCAATCATTATTTTTACCGTTGTAATAATAAAATGTCTTAGATTACTTTTAGGGGTGTTTGTTTTAATTTTTTTTTGGGATATAGGGTGGATTTCAAGTTTTGGGATGTAAAAAGTGCTTTTTTTGAGTTTTGGTATTCCTTAAACTTTGTTTGTTTCAATTTTTTTGGGGATATTGAATCCCTAAATTATAAAAAAAATAATATATTTTTAGGATTTGTGAAATCATCTCTTTTGTTTCAACTTCTTTTTGAGATATAAGGTGGATTACAAGGATTTTGGGTTTTAGAATTCCATAAACCATGTTTGTTTCAAAACCAGTTTTGGGATATTGAATCCCCAAATAATAAAAAACTATTATATTTTAGAATTTGTGAAATCCTACAATTGAGAGAGGATGTAGGTTGGATATTGATGTATTAATGCTTATAAAATAAGATTAATATATTAATACCTCTATAATTATAGGAGGACCCAAGAATCACTGTTCATGCTTTAGTAAATGCTGCAGTAAATTACTGTAGCATTATATATATATATATAATATATTATATTATATAATAAATAATATATATATATATATTATATAATATATATAATATATATATAATATATATAATTTATATATAATAAATATATATATCATATATAATTTATTTCTATTGATTAATTATATATATATATACATAAATTACTATATAATACTTATATATATCGATATATATAATATATATATATAAAATATATATATATATATAACATAATATATAATATATAATATATATTATATTATATATATAATATATATATATATATATATATATATATATATATATATATATATATAGGGAAAACTGATCCGCGCTGAGCTCAGGAAAAATCCTGCCCGCTGTTAATCTCGTGGCCAATCGCGATTTTGGGGATATGCGGAGGAGTGGGTTTTTTTGAAAAAATTCCAGCGGTTCTCTCTCTCCCAGCTTGAAGAATCCCCAAATCTCAATCCCAAGCCTCAGATCCCCAATTCGCTCTTCCTTCTCTCTCCTCTACGCCTCGTCAAAAATCCAAACTCGCTGGAATTTTGACGTCCACGGCAGCGACAGCGGCCCTCGAAGCTCCGACATTGTCTCCGACGTCGACGCGGCCCTCGAAGACCGCTGCCTCTCTCTCGTCCGACATTGTCTCCAGCGCCACAGCCCAGTTTACTCGTCCGCGATCGCCTCCGACGTCGTGACCCCCATCGATTCTCCGACGTCGTGACCCATCGATTCTCCGACGTTGTAATCAGGTCAAGTTGTTATCTTTTGCTGTTCTAGCCATTGGATTGCCTGATAATGCCTCATGCTGTCAATGATACAATAGTCATGTGGATGATAATGCCTCATGCTGTCAATGATAATGCCTCATGCTGTCAATGATACAAGAGTCATGCTATAATC